AACTGATCCTGTACCCTCTGTGCATTACGGATAGGACCTGGGAGTCAGATGTTATTTTCTCCCATGCTGGGAGGAACTCTGTTAAGTGGCCCGTGAAGTTAGTCAGAAGAGGTGGGGCCCACGGGAGGGGGCTGCCTGGACCTGAATTTTAGCAGCTTCACCTGGTGTCTTGACGTTTTGGTGGGACCCTCTGGTGGGGCTGAGCATCACACCTCTTGGGGAGGTGTACTGTTTGTAACCTGAATGGGCAATCAGGAAAGGGGTGATAGCTGGTGCTGAGAGGGGTCCTTTGCCACTTACACTGCTGAGGTTGCTGGGCAAACCTCATACATCCAGCAGTGGTCTGGGCCTTGTGGAGGGAATTAATAGTCTCATCTGTACAAGCACTGAAAACTCCCTCCTTGCTGAAGAGGCTGGAGTGCTGGGCTGAAAACAACAGAATGAAATTCAATAAGGACAAATGCCAAGTCCTTTACCTAAGAAAAGGGAACCAAATGCAGTTACAAGACGGGAGATACGTGGCTCAACAAGTGAGAAGGATCTTGGAATTGTTGGTACAGAGTACAGGTTGATATGAGTCAGCAATGTGATGTGGCTGCACAAATTGGACTATATTAATAGGCATCAGGTTGGATGTCAGGCAGTACTTCCTGACAGGACCCTAGGATATGGAATGGGCTTCCAAAGGAGGAGGTTGAGGCCCCATCATTGTGGGTGTTCAAGGAAAGACTGGACAACCACATGTTGGGGATTACATGAGTACAGCTGGCTGGAGCCAGGGGTCAAACTAGATGGCCCAGGAGGCCCCTTCTGACTCACTCTGTTTCTATGTCAGGTCTTTCTCACTCCACATAGAATAGCATTTTTTTGTTGCAACAGCTTGAACATCTCTTTTCCTGCAATGGGAATTTGTACAATGGTCCTATAGTTGCTGCATTACTTGCATCTTTTTGGGAATTGAAATGTGTATTGAAAATTTCCTGTCATCAGGCCATTGGTCTGTTTTCCAGATTTGTTAGCAAATTCTTGTTTGGATTTCGACTGACTCAGTTTCTGCAGCTTGAAAAGGCTGTGTTGTCATCCTGTATACTCTGGGCATTTTATTCATTCTAAGTGCTTTCAGATAAAAGTTTTCCATTTCTACTTCTTCATCATCTCCTGCTGGAGCATTGACTTGAATGATGCCTATGTTAATAGGTTTTCCACAAATTTTTACCAGCAAGGCCAAACTATCTCAGGATTAACATTGCAAAATTGATTGTATATGAATAAGCAGGATAATTTTAAGTTTTTAAATAGAAAGAATATTTCCTTACTTGTAATTGTAGATGGAGCCTGTTTGCGAAAAACCATGGAGCAATTTATATTTTCAAAGCATCTCTGTTGCTCCCTTCTGGATAAATCATGCAGTTGCATCTTACCTGCAGTCTTGGTGAATTTATTTACTGAGACTCTGAAAATGCAAATAATGGACCATAGAATAATGCATTCTCATTTCTAACTAGGGCAGCCCATTGAACTGAGACTGGCATGTCAGGAAGAATTAAAGGGAAGTAAATCCCAACGTAGGATATGTTGTATTTCTTTATCCCACCCCATTAGTCATAAAGTTCCCTTAGGATAGTAGCAGTGATGCAGCTTGGACATTTTATGCCCTGGAGTTAAGCTCTTAGGGATACCTCCTTATGTGCTCCTTCAGTTGGGAGGCACACACATAATATATCCGCTGCCCTCTACCACATCCCACGCTTTAAAACTGCTATTACATTTCTGTCATTTTAAAGCAAAAAATAAAGGCTTTTTGCCAACCCTAATAAAAATATGTGCAAGCACAAATATTAAAATTATTTGAATAATAGCGCTATCATAACAATAGGCATAAAATGGAGTTTGCTTCTGCTGCTCTGATTCTAAACACATCTACCTGCAAAAAGCACCTTGCTATAGAAAAGGAAGATATTTTTAAAAGTAAAAACAACAAAATGAGCATCTATGACCACCTGTATGTTCTGGTGGCTACAATTAAAAAAAACAAAACAAAGATGCTGTATTTGACCAGACAGGGCCCTAAATTTCTAAGCTCTAAATGAAGAGAATATTTTACTTTTGTATACTATATAGAAAAAGCATTTTTCAATAGTCACAGCTTTTTCTTTTAACTTGCATAATAAAACTCTCCTTTATAATTTAAAGTATTTAAAGTGGAAATGCCTAGTAGAGTATCAAAAATGTAAACACCTTTAAAGAGATGTTTTTGCCAATCACTGATATGTGATAAGAGTAGGGATTCCCTGTTCTGTGTATTTCTCTACAAATTCTATCTCTTATCTCTAACTGGATTAGTGATTGGAGATAACAGTGAGGATTTCCTGGGCAACAGGGAAAGAAGTAAAGCCCACAGAAGAAACTCAGGTTAGAGGTTTTCCAGCCCCGACCTTAAAACAGAAAGATTGCCATATCCACTGAAAACTAATTCCATCCCATATTGCGATATGGGATCAGTGGTGTGCCGTATCTCTAAAAAGTCTGAAGCCCCAGGTATTAACCCGTTTCTCTATATTTGCACAACTCCTAGGTCTAGCAAGCTGCCAATATGAAATAATATCACTTTAACAGAAAGTTGGCATACATGTGCGTGTATGTGTTGTATGTTGAAGGGGAAAAAATAATTAGCATAGCAGACCCCTACATTAGATTCACACTACATTCCAACTAGATGTGCAAATGTCACCTCTCAGTTCTATCTCTCTTGATCACCACCTTTAAATTTCTGGATTATAGACTCCTTAACTCATAAAGCTGCAGTAGATCCCAAACTTCTCATTTTAGGGCCCTGATGTCATTGAAAATTTGATCTTCAACTGGACAAAGCAACCTCAACCCACTCCAGACCTCTGAATCTAATTCCCAAATTCTGCACCTCAAACATTAGACTACCAAGGCAAGAACTCTTGATCACTGCCTTGTCATGGCGAAGGGGCTTCTGTAGCTCAATGAAGCTATCAGTTATGCTGTGCAGGAACATCCAAGACGGGACAGGTCCTACCAGAGAGCTCTGACAAAATGTGATCCACTGGAGAAGGAAATGGCAACCCACTCCAGTATCTTTGTCATGAAAACCCCATGGACAGTACCAAAAGGCAAAAAAATACGATGCCGGAAGATGAGCCCCTCAGATTGGAAGGTGTCCAATGTACTACTGGGGAAGAGCAGAGGGCTAGTACTAGTAACGCCAGAAAGAATGATGCGACTGGGTCAAAGGCGAAGGGACACTCAGTTGCAGATGTATCTGGTGGTGAAAGGAAAGTCCGATGCTGTAAAGATTTATACTCCATAGGAACCTGGAATGTAAGATCTATGAATAAAGGCAAGCAGGACGTGGTCAAACATGAGATGACACGACTGAACATCAACATCTTGGATATCACTGAACTAAAATGAAGAGGAATGGGTGAGTTTAATTCAGATGACCATCAGGTATACTACTGTGGGCAAGAATCCCTCAGAAGAAATGGAGTAGCCTTCATAGTCAAGAAAAGAGTAGGAAAAGCAGTACTGGGATACAATCTCCACAATGACAGAATGATCTCAGTTCGAATCCAGGGCAAACCATTCAAAATCACAGTAGTCCAAGTCTATGCCCCAACCACTGGTGCTGAAGAGGCTGAAGTTGACTGGTTCTATGAAGCACCTTCTAGAACACCTTCTAGAATTAACACCAAAAAATGATGTCCTTATCATCATGGGGGATTGGAATGCTGCAGTAGGAAGCCAAAAGATAACCAGAATAATAGGGGATGGTGGAGGACAGGAGGGCCTGAAGGAATGTTGTCCATGGGGTCATGATGGGTTGAGCAGGGCTTTGTGACTAAACAACATTGTTATATTTTATTGTTTTATGTTTTGTTGTTAACCACCGATTAAGGAAACAGCTCAGGGAGCCCTGTGGGGTGATGGCAGTATAGAAATGTCACAATAATTATAATAATTATAATAGAATTAAGTTACAGGAAGCTAGATTCCTACTGGATATCACAAAAAAATCCTGCCTGTTAGAGGAGGATGGCAGTGGAACTAATTACGTAGGGATGTCATGGGCTATCTCATAGTGGAGACATTCAAAAGGCAGTTGGACAGCCATCTATCAGGGATGCTTTAACTTGGAGTCCTGCACTGAGCAACGGGGTTCAACTTGATGGCCTTACAGACCCTTCCAGATCTGTTATTCTATGAAATTGTGGAATTCAGATGGTCTTTCTCTTGACACATAAGACTGTTGTTCTAATATGGGTATACTAGAATGCCCTGAATGCAAAAATGGTCACAAACAAAGGTCATGCATTTGGTGAATACTCCATAAGTTGTGAAAAGGCCAAAGAGGAAAACTGGAGTCCTCCTATTCTATGGAAAAACAAAGAAAGTGCTGGGTCTGTCATTGTCTCTTAGATAATACAAGTTCCTGCCAAGGCTATCACAATGGTGCTGAAGAGGAACTGAGGAAATGAGTGGGAGCCTACTACTGGCAAGTAGGCTAGGCTGGTTGGGTTCCCCCCAGGTTCCACAACTTTGGAAGATTTGTGCATGCGCAGCACCCATGAAGGAAACTGCCGAACTCAGTTTAAAAGTGCACTCCTTTCCACTTTTAGATTAGACACAAAAAGTCCCAATATACATAGGATCGTACTGTTACAATGCAAGTATGCATACAGTACAGGATTGTACTGTACGCATAGTGAAACCCCATTGAGTTCAATAACATTTACTCCCAAGTAATGTATGAAGGTAAAACTGCCCACATCCAGGTTTTCCCTACTATTTTAACTTATGTGGGAAGGAAGAGGCACCAAGACCAAGTTGGTTAGCTTGTTAATTCTGGGGCAGGAGTTCAAACTGTTTAGCTGTTAAACTAATGTATTTGTCCACTGACTTGCTCCACAAGATTTTGTATCCAATTTGAAGCAGCAATGAAGAAACACCGCAATGAAGAAATAAAACACTCATCATTTTCAAGCAGCATTTATTCCCCATGGCTAGCTAAGTCTAGAAGTACATACCAGCAACCAAAAAGAAAAGAGGAAATTTATAACAGTTCTTTTTACTTTGTTCCACTATCTTTGAGGAAGACAGAATGCTACAGCCAAACTACACTACTAGTATAGCTGCCCTTGATTCTCCCTTTTTACTTGCTGGGTTTGCTGCTCTGTCAGAACAACAGGCTTGTACTTCTCCTCAAAAAGTTTCTCATTGGCTTCTGAGTGCAGGTTATGGAAAGAAACTGTCCTGAGATGCTCTGGTAGATGTTGAAACTCCTCATCATTAATGTCTGAATCTTGCATTTTGGTGTGCAAAACCCACCAGCGCCCCCAGAAGCCGACATCCAGGACCTGGCTGGGAAAGTCTGTCCAGCATGGTTTCAAGTACTTGCAGTGCACTTGGTAAAGGTCCACTCCTACATCGAAAGGAGCCTCGTAGACCAGGGAGAAAAAGAATAGACTCTGGAAGCGCAGCTGACCCCGATTTCTCAGCTTCATGAGTCGCTGAACGTGCCCTTCCGAGCTGGCGCTGCGGGTCCACGGCGAGAGGAGGAGAAGGGTGCCCGAGGCTTCCAGGAGGCTGGTCTCGAAGGACTCTTCGCACGGACTGTGAAGGCTGCAGCCCACCGCTCCGGCCAGCAGCGAGATGTAGAGGCCCGCTTTCCCCGGCCGCTGCCTGACACTCTGAGCCACCTCTTTGCAGGCTTCGGCGTAATCGTGCAGGAGGCTTTTCCACCACGAAGCTGAGCCGGGAGGGAGAGCGGGGAAGGTTAAGCGGAGCTCCGCGGGGGTCAAGAGGGTCCTAGGGAAGGAAGAGGGGGGGTACGGGCCTAGAAACAGCGCCCCGTCAAGCAACCCGTCTCTATTCCCAGCGAAGCAGGTGGCATGGAAAAGGCGAGGCCAGCCGCAGCCGGCGGGACCCAACAAGAGGCGCTTGCGGCTGCTTCGCCGAGCTTCCCCGCGCTCTCACCCTCGCCACTCACCTAGTCGGCCGGTGCGGAGGCGGCCCGACAAGAGCCGCTTCTTTTCAGTGTGGCCCAAGCCCGGAGGCTCCGTCATCACGAATCTGGCCGAGAAAACACTTCCAGCCGGACGAATGAACAGGAGGGACCACGCGGAGCGGGGTGACCGGAAGAGAGGCCTGATGACGACACTTTCGTAGAGATAGAATAGGAAGAGTAATACACTCTTTCTAGTCCTTGTTCCTTCTCAGCCTGGGAATGAAGAACCAGCGCGTCTCTACGAAAGTAAATGGGACCTGAAGCATTTGCGTTTCGTTGAGGGATTGTGGAGGTCTGTAAACGACCTTTCGTGCAATCTGAGCTGTGTTTTGCACGGGGATTTAAAAAATTATTCTTTGCTGAAATTCCAAAGAAGCTTCCCCGAACAAGGTGATAAAGAGAGGGCGAGGAACCGGTATCCAAACATTTTTAAACACAATTTAACAAATCTGAGGGCTGTCGTGTATCAGACACATATGACTGTATAAGTTAATAACGCTGGATCACGTTGCGGTGCTTTTCCTGTCAGCTGCACTTCTAGCCTACATTGCAAGGTTGCCATAAGCGACGATTTCTCTACCCCTGCTACGTGGGTAAGATTCTGAACGACAGCGTTTTAAACCAGTTTACGACAGCTGGATGCAGCCTGCAGGATGGGAACGACAACACTATACCACGTATTCCTCATATGAATTATGATGGGAAGGGCTATATTTGCACTGTGGATTATACCTGTGTTTGCAACCATTTTTAAAAGTTTCGAAAGCTAGCAAGCAACGTGTCCCCTCCGAGCCCCCAATGACCTGAGTTAGAGAGAAGGTGCCTGGATCCTTTTTGCTTCTACCCGTTTGTATTTTGGAAGGAGGGGAGGAAGAATACATTGCTGTACAACTAAAGTTCTAGATTTTCTCAGTGTTACCTGAGCAACTACAACCACTTTCTTTTTGCAGGTGCAGCTTGGGTGGGAGAAGTACCCCGGCAAATTCGTTCTGAAACTGTCCATCTAAGTTACATCTGTGAGCACTGCATGTGCCTTTGAAAAACCCTCTTTTGGAGGGCCCTGGCAGAGGAGTAGTTTTGGGAGCCTTAGTGGCAGCTGCTGTTGTCATTCATAAAACTACTGTACTCCTTTTGCTTGCCATCCTTCTAAAGTACCTAAGAAAGCATTCTTACAGCGGGCTGCTTGGAATAAGGGGGCGCCCAAGCAAGGGGCATCTGGTTCCCCCGGGACAGGGTGCCAGGACGATGTCCAAGATGGTGTCTAGGTGGTTGGGTGGTGTCCAGTCCACAAAGTCTCTGTTGCTGTTGTTAGTCGCAAAATCATGTGTGACCCATCACAACCCCATGGACAACATTCCTCCAGGCCTTCCTGTCCTCCACCATCCCCCGGAGCCCACTTAAGCTCACACCAACTGCCCCAGTGACTCCATCTAGCCACCTCATCCTCTGCCGTCCCCTTCTTCTTTTGCCATCTATTGTTCCCAGCATTAGGCTCTTCTCCAGGGAGTCCTTCCTTCTCATTAGGTGGCCAAAGTATTTGAGTTTCACCTTCAGGATCTGGCCTTCTAAAGAGCAGTCAGGGTTGATCTCCTCTAGGACTGACCTGTTTGATCACCTTGCAGTCCAAGGAACTCACAGGAGTCTCCTCCAGCACCACAATTCAGAGGACTCAGTTCTTCGGTGCACAGCCTTCCTTATGGTTCAGCTTTCACAGCCATACATTGCAACTGGAAAAACCATAGCCTTGACTATACAAACTTTTGTTGGCAGAGTGATGTCTCTGCTTTTTAGTATGCTGTCTAGATTTGCCATAGCTCTCCTCCCCAGGAGCAAACGTCTTTTAATTTCTTGGGTACAGTCCCCATCTGCTCTGATCTTGGAGCCCAGGAAAATAAAATCTGTCACTACCTCCATTTCTTCCCCATCTATTTGTCAGGAAGTGAGAGGACTGAATGCCATGATTTTTAAGAAAACTAAGATCATGGCATTCAGTTGAGCTTCAAGCCAACTTTTGCACTCTCCTCCTTCACTCGCATCAAGAGGCTCTTTAGTTCCTCTTCACTTTCTGCCATTAGAGTGGTATCACCTACATATCTGAGGTTGTTGATATTTCTCCCAGCAATCTTAATTCCAACTGGTGATTCATCTAGCCCCACCTTTCTCATGATGTGCTCTGCATATAAGTTAAATAGGCAGGCGACAGTATACAGTCTTGCCAAACAACTTTCTCAATTTTGAACCAATCAGTGGTTCTGTGTCCAGTTCTCACTGTTGCTTCTTGACTCACATATAGGTTTCTCAAGAGACAAATAAGATGGTCAGTACTCCCATCTCTTTAAGAACCTGCCACAGTTGGTTGTGATCCACACAATCAAAGGCTTTAGCATAGTCAATGAAGCAGAAGTAGCTGTTTTTCTGGAACTCCCTAGCTTTCTCCTTGATCCAGTGTATGTTGGCAATTTGATCTCTAGTTCCTCTATCTCTTCAAAATCCTGCCTGTACTTCTGGTAGTTCTCGGTCCACATACTGCTGGAGCCCAGCTTGTAGGATTTTGAGCATAACTTTGCTAGCATGTGAAATGAGTGCAATGGTGCGGTAGTTTGAACATTCCTTGGCATTACCCTTCTTTGGGATCGGAATGTAAACTGACCTTTTCCAATCCTGTGACCACTGTTGAGTTTTCCAAATTTGCTGGCATATTGAGTGTAGCACTTTTACTGGATCATGTTTTAAGATTTTTTATAGCTCAGCTGGAGTGCTGTCACCTCCACTAGCTTTGTTGTTGCTCAGACTTCCTAAGGTCCATTTGACTTCACATTCCAGGATTTCTGACTCGAGGTCAGTGACTACCCCATCGTTGTTACCAGGGACATTAATCTCTTTCTTGTATAGTTCTGTGTAATCTTGCCGCCTCTTCTTAATCTCTTCTGCCTCTGTTAGGTCCTTGCCATTTTGTTTTCCATTTCTTTACACTGTTCATTTAAGAAGGCATTCTTATCTCTTCTAGCTATTCTCTGGAATTCTGCATTCAGTTGGGTGTATCTTTCTCTTTCTCCCTTGCCTTTCGCTTCCCTTCTTTCCTCAGCTATTTGTAAAGCTTCCTCAGACAGCCATTTTGCTTTCTTGCATTTCTTTTTCTTTGGGACGGTTTTAGTTGCTTCCTCTTGTACAATGTTGCAAACCTCCATCCATAGTTCTTCAGGCGCTCTGTCTATCAGATCGAATTCCTTAAATCTATTTGTCACCTCTACTGTATATTCATCAGGGATATGATTTAGGTCATACCTGAGTGGTCTAGTGCTTTTCCCTAATTTCTTCAATTTAAGCCTAAATTTTGCAATGAGTAGCTCATGATCTGAGGCACAGTCAGCTCTTGGTGTTGTTTTTACTGACTGTATAGAGCTTCTCCATCTTTGGCTGCAGAGCACATAGTCAATCTGATTTCTGTGTTGACCGTCTGGTGATGTCCATGTGTACAGTCATCTCTTGGGTTGTTGGAAAAGAGTGTTTGCTATGACCATCCTATTCTCTTGACAAAATTCTACCAGCCTGTGCCCTGCTTCATTTTGTACTCCAAAGTCAAACTTGCTTGTTATTCCGGTTATCTTTTGTCTTCCTACTTGAGCATTCCAATCCCCCATGATGATAAGGACATCATTTTTGGTGTTAATTCTAGAAGGTGTTGTAGGCCTTTATAGAACTGGTCAACTTCAGCCTCTTCAGCAGCAGTGGTTGGTGCATAGACTTGGACTACTGTGATGTTGAATGGTTTGCCTTGGATTCAAACCGAGATCATTCTGTCATTTTGAAGATTGTATCCCAGTACTGCTTTTCCTACTCTTTTATTGACTATGAAGGCTGCTCCATTTCTTCTGAGGGATTCTTGCCCACAGTAGTATACCTGATGGTCATTTGAATTAAATTCTCCCATTCCTGTCCATTTTAGTTTACTGATTCCTAAGATGTCGATGTTCAGTCTTGTCATCTCTTGTGGATCACATCTAGCTTGCTTTGATTCATGGATCTTACACTCCAGGTTCATATGGTGTATAGATCTTTGCCGCATCGGACTTTCCTTTCACCACCAGATACATTTGCAACTGAGTGTCCTTTCAGCTTTGGCCCAGTTGCTTCATTCTTTCTGGCGCTACTAGTACTAGCCCTCCGTTCTTCCCCAGTAGCATATTGGACACCTTCCGATCTGCGGGGCTCATCTTTCAGTGTCATATCTTTTTGCCTTTTGGTACTATCCATGGGGTTTTCATGGCAAAGATACTGGAGTGGGTTGCCATTTCCTTCTCCAGTGGATCACGTTTTGTCAGAGCTCTCTGCTATGACCTGTCCGTCTTGGATGGCCCTGCGTGGCATTGCTCATAGCTTCATTGAGCTACGCAAGCCCCTTCACCACGACAAGACAGTGATCCATGAAGGAGACAAAGTCTCTGAGCATCTGCCAAGTGCCTTTCCAGAACCTTTGAGTAGCCTCAGTGCATCCCGAAGACAATATGATGCAAGAGTCTGCTGTGCAGAAGCAGAGTAAGTCTCTTCTGTGCCTGAGGGCAGGGCAGGAATAGGGTGGCTGTGGGAGGAAAGTCTTGTGGCATTGTTTACCATGGGATTAGGTGAGAGGAAGGGGGAACTCCCTCCGAAGCAAAGCTGGCATTAAAAGTAACCTCTACCATGCAGCACGGTTTCTTTCCATTCTAGGATAATGCAGCTACATCATGGCTGCTCTGGATGAGCTCAAGTTTCATGATAAGTGCTTTCTTTTTCTGGGTTGTGGGCATAGGTACACTTTTGATAGTGGGTAGGTGATTTGTTGCTGTACAGCTGCTTTCTACTATACCTGTCATAGTGGTCAGACTGGGAGTTGTAGCCCAAAATATCTGGAGGGTACTGATTTGCCTAACTTGTAGGCATCCTCATGATCAAAGCTCTATGAATGTAGTCTCTGATGTTCCTACTAGTTTTTCTGTTTCACCTGAGATTTACACCACCAGAATTGCCAACTGACCATTCTACTTCATAAAGTACATTGTTAAGCACTTGGCTATAGAAGTAAAGATTGGCCATTTGGCAAAAGGAAGTCAACAGGTCTTACTGTATAAGTCTATGCATAACTGCTCAGAAGTAAGACTACAGGCCTAAACACACTCAGTTAGGCACTTTTTGGAATGCTGAGGGAGAGTTGTGGGTGCTGTCACTCAATTACTGCCCAGGGATGCCCCTCAGAGTTGGCATGGGCCAATAAAGCTATTGGGTCCAAGCCCCCACTTACTGGTTAATGCAGGACTTAGTTATAGCACCCCTGACAAATGCATCCAGATGCATCTTTAATACCTCCAGTGTAGGAGAGCCCATGACCTCCCTACGTTATTGGTTTCATTGCCATACTGCTCTAACAGTCAGTAAATTTTTCCTCATGTCCATCTGGAATCTGACTTCCTGTAACTTCAGCTCATTATTTCATGTCTTGAACTCTGGGATGATCAAGAAGAGATCTTAGCCTTCCTCTTTGTGAGAGTCTTCCAAAAACTTGAGGAGTGCTATCATATCACCCTTCAGTCTTCTCTTCTGAAGACTAATTATGCCCAATTCTTTCACTCTCTTCTCATAGGGCTTTGTTTCCAGTCCCCTGTTGCACTCCTCTGAACTTTTTCCAGTGGTGTCAAGAACTGAGGAGGCCTAACTCATCCTGAGCAGATGCAGTTGCCATGTTAGGGTCGTTCTTTGTTTTGATACTGCTTATGCTTGTTACTTCTCCTTTCATTTAGAATGAAGAAGTAGTAGCACTAGTAGAAGTCCCTCCCTACTTTTGAAAAGCACTGTTCCATTCAGCCTTAGGGCTTCTAGAATGTAGTCTTTTTTCATTGCTGTGTCCTGATGGCCTGGTGTTTTCCAAATCAAATCTGCAATAATCAAATCTGCAAAAGTCCATGCAGAATCTGATGAGGCCATGGATTCTCTGGCAGCAAATCAGATGCCTCCACTCTTAGCATGAATGAGTGGCAAAGTCACACTGCCCTGGATTTGGTCTCCAGCTATAATGAGGAGCATTAGCCAGAGGAAGAAGATAAAACTGAGGTAGGACTGTTCCACAGCTTGATGAATAATCACTTGGATAAGTGGCTGCTTTGAGGAGCAAGATACAGGTGGGATGGAGACATTATGGAAACGTTATCCCAGCCTAGAAACTACTTGCTGTAGACCTGGAAAAGAATGAGGAAGAGATGATGGGATATCAGATGGACTTCAGGGAGGAGAGAAAGTATATAAGAAGCTGGGTCAGGCAAGATGCTGTCGTCTTTAGGTGCTACTGTCAGTTGCTGAAATTCAGGGTAGATGCTCTGTTATGGGAAGAAGAGATATATTTCACTAGATTTCTAACTTTGAACCCCAAACAGGTCTAAAAATGACCATGTAGCAACAGTGTGGTCTATTAGCTAGAATGTGGACTTTAAACTAGTTCTGTCTTGCACCTGCTGTGAGCTTGCTGGGTGACCTTTGGCAAATCATGTTGCTTTTCTAATTTAGCGCATGGGAGTTACCTGTCCATGGCTTCCTGTAGTCCCTAGGGTGGACAATAGGAAGCTCTGAAATCTTGAGTTCTTTAGGAATTTTTTTGCTGATATATTTTCTACTTATCAGGTACTGGACAGAATAAAATGGTCACTGCTTCCACTGGGAAGAATTTTATATGGCACAACTTGCAGAACACGCCTAACCCATATAGTGAGTAGAGAGAGGTCCTTCATTAAGCAGAACACTGACTCCTGCTTCAAAGGCTCGATTTACTTTCAGCTACAACTTAGCAAGACAGACCCTGCAATGTACCTTGCTCTCATACCAGGAGGCAGCTCGGCACCCTGAGCTGCCAGGAGCAAGAACAACGAAGTTTCTGAATACATTTCCATCACCTTTATTCATGCTAGTGTCAAGGCTGGTAAGCCTCTATACCATGGGTCCCTCAAACTACGGCCCGCAGGACAGATCCGGCCCGCCATGCCCATTTATCCGGCTCGTGCTGCCACCTGCGCGCCCACGCACCGCTGCCTCACCGCGTGGGCGGGAGGTGGTGGCTTGCTCACTCAGAGATAGTTTTGGACTTGTTGGGAGATCTCAGAAAGCGAGCCACCGCTGCCGCTGCCTGCCTCCCCGCACCTCCCCTGTGCGTGTACTCGCCACTGCCTTGCAGTGCAGGCGGGGAGGCGGTAGCTTGCTTGCTTGCTTGCTTGCTTGCTTGCTTGCTTGCTTGCTTGCTTGCTTGGAGATCTCTGAGCGAGCCGCTACCACAGGCACCCAACGCCGCCTCGTGCGCGCCCAACAATGACTCACCGGCTCACGCGCCCAGGCCCTCCCTCCTCCCTGGTCCCTGCTGGTCGCTGTTGCCTTTCAACTGGTCCCCTATTGAAAAAGTATGAGGACCCCTGCTCTATACCATGGAGGCCTGCCTCCTTGGGGAAAAACGTATGCCCCTCTTTTTGGTAATACCTTTTCTGATATTATACTTGTGCCCTGCACATGACCCTTCTCAATACGTGCTACCTTGGTCTTCACACTGGCTATCAGTGAAAACTTCCAACTGCCTAGAGCAAATGAATAGCCCCTCCTTCCACTACAGACCCCAATACCAAAAAGGTGAGGTTTGTCATGAAAAAGTATGAAAAGGGGTGTTACGTGGTGGGTGTAAAAGCAGCTCAAGTCTTTTTCACATACGCAGTTAGGGGCACAGGATCCCCACAAAAGTGGAAAACCACAAATATCTCTAGCCCACACAAACCTTAACTCTTAAACTCAACCAGTTGCTAGGTGCCAGCCAAAGTGGAATGCTGGCCTGACGTGTCCCCAGGAGGGAAGACGTCTGAATGACACCTGCTGCAGGAAGCCAGGAAGGGCCTGGCTCATGTCCAAAGTCACTGTCACCCCCCCCCCCACCACTCCCTGGCAGGGGGAGCAGGCACCTCTTTCGGTCACAGCTTGCATCCAGCCCTGCTTCATTCCCCAGCCAACCAAAACAACTGCCATTTCATTATCAATGGCAAACTTGCAAATAATCAAATCTGCAAAAGTGAAACCTGTGAAAGTTGAAGTCCAACTGTATTGTGGCCACAGCAGGCATGGACAAGATCATGATGTGTGCAGGGGGAATAAGCTGGTAGTTTTCTGCTTAATGGGCTGATGCAGTAAGCAGAGCAATACTGACCCTATCATGCTGGGCTGTATGACAGGCATGATTTGGAAAACAAACAGAACTTCCCAGTTATTGCTGCTACCATTGTTATATTTCACTTTCCTTGGAGTTGGGACAGAGGACTAAGCTTGAAAGCATACATTTTGAAAGTTTGTATTTTACAGTGCTACTAGTCCTAGAGGCTGTGGAAGCTTGTGGTGGTATTTTTGTTGGTAGAATCTGGCAGTTGCTGCTACTCAGAATGGTATTGACATAGTGGGGGCTGCCTTTCTCCGCCTCCTGCAGTCACTATTGCAGTAATAGCTATCTACTGCTCTACCTGGCTGGTGCCTGTTGCCCTGTGGGGTTATCTGCAGTAGCGGAAGGGGCCCCCACTTCAACGTAGACTCCCACACCTTCCTGGAGATAGTGTGCATCTATGTCTACTAAATGTTTTTGTACTTCCCAACTGCAGTGAGTAGACTAACAGGGTGGCAGGGAAGGGGGTGGTGGGTTCTTATTTGTGTTTCTCTTCCAAATTAGAATTAAGCTTTCTAGTACCAAGTATTCAAACCTTGATTTTCATATTGCCCTTCAGTACCTCCCATTTTGCATAGGTGGATTTTCATACAAAAACTATGAATTCCTGAGAGTTGTTGCTTGCTGAGGACCTGGTCTTAAAATGCTTTATGCAATTTCTCCATACCAAATAACTTATTCCCTACCACTTCTGTTCACAGATCCTGTGGATGATTCCAATATAATGGCTCTAGTGACTGCTGATTGTATCTTGCCATGGGTATATCTGGTTCAGTTCTGGTCCTTACCTTCTGACCAGTTGTCTGTCCAGACTCCAAGGCAGCTGCTTGTGCCATAATGGCTGTGATTATTACACTCCACATCCTTTTGGCAATTGCCTGCAAGGTAAGTGTCCTACCTGCAAACATTGATTGTTCCTTCTGATAGCAATTCAGTCAGGGCAGCATTGCTTGCCCTATTTCACTATCAGGGAGGATCCTGGGGGCGCACTCCCCCTTCCAATTGGGATAGTAAGTTATGTACTAAGAACAATCCTCATTTATTCCAATTGGTGAGATTAGAGGTCCCCTCCCTCGTACCTTTTAGTGAGTAAGATCTCACCCAAAACCCTGCAGGCTCAACCCTGATGATCTAAACCCAAGTGGCTCTGGATTAATTCTGTACTGCCTGTAAAAGTGACCATTCAAATTAGAATTGAGAATCTATTTCGGACTGTTTTCCTCCAAATACATCTCTGGTGTATCATTGATACTTGCTTTGTTCATTATTGGTGTCAAAATGTACTGGGATGTTAACATGGAAATTACACTGATAGATGTTTTAAAACAAGAATTTATCTGTGCATATATAAGGAGTCAGACAAAAATGTGATATGCAGTGTTTATGTCTGTAGGCAAATTTGTTCCTGATATTTTGGCCTACAGCTCCTATGGTCCCAGACACTGGCTATAATAGCTGTAGCTTATGAAAGTTGAATTCTAAAGCCTTTCAGAAGCAAGACTGAATAGGCATCTCCATAAAATGGGAAATTGTTAATACTTCTAGAAGTGAGCAAGGTACAGAATTGTGGACAGAGCTTGGATCCAGTCATTATTTCAGTGGTTTAGACCTGAACACAGAATGGGAACTAGATGCCCAAGCCTGTTCCTGGGTCTTAATATGAACATCTATTCTGCCATTTCAATCTTCATTTTGTTTCTAGATGAGGTACTCAATTTGGGAAGTGTGATTTTGAACTTTTTTTGTATCCAGACTTTATTGTAAGCCAAAGTATTTTTTGAAACAGTGGCCACTTAGGGTTTAAGATTTAAGAGGGAGGGGGAAGGAAGGCCTAAATGGTCCCTGCTTCATCTCCAACCAATTTAATTTTATCTTCTTGAAGTTGCATTTCTTCCAGAAATCAAACACTGCTGCTCCTACTGTTGCCCCCACATAAGCAGTCCATCACACCAGAAGCAAAACTCTCATCTGACTAACATCTCATTGCACCTATGATGGGGAGCTGGTAAGAGCCTCACATAGTCTGCAATGGGTTCTGAAAATACCGCGAGGCTTCGAACATCATTTGGTATAACACCCATTGCTCCCTTGGCCCCATACCTACTGATGGAAATGCAGGAAGCAGGGTACAGCCCTCCCATCAGCATCTCTCCTGCTTACACCAGAAACAAGACTAAAAGCTTGGAAAAGATTAAAGGAAGTTGCAAGGCTTCAAACTACCCAATACTTTGCTTCCTTACAGGCTTTGATTGTGAACGTCTGGCCTTAGAGAATGCCCAAAACCCAGTACATGGCCAGTAAAGCAGAGGCACAGAAAAACTGTGGAAATAGGGAGCCCCTAGTGAGCCAGGCAGTGCTATGTCATTTCAAGGCTGTCATTGCCAGCCAGAGAACAGCAGTGTGGTAGCTGAATTGAGGGGGAAAAACATTCTTCCTTAGGTAAGAGGCCTGGCATGTCAGATCACCAAGTGCTGCTGCCTTTCATGCTGTCATAGCCAGACAGACCTGTGGCAGTAGTATGACTGAAGAAAGGGGATGCATGAAGTAATTGTTTGGTATGCTCCTTCAAGCAAAACTTGATTTTGATAAGGCTGGGTTGGAACTGCATGGAAGTAATGGTGAATATTTAAGATACATTTGTGTACCGTCTGCCATTTGGGATTATCAACAGTAGAGGTCATAGCTTCTCTTGAGTGCATTTTCACAGTGAGGGAGGAAGATCACTAAAAGATTATTTCAGCCATTTGAGTTTATTTTCTATGCAAAGCTAATTTAAATTAAATTATTTGTCTTCTGAGAGAAGACTGGCTCTTTCCTATGTTCCTGCACTGACATATTAGAACATATGACCAGGACTGTGTTCTTGTGCCTCTTCTATCTGTAAGGGGTGGGGGGGACTTTGAAATAATAACAGAAGGCTTCAGGGCAGGAATCTGTAACCAGCTCCAAGAGCTAGAGGCAGCATTTAGCCAGAGATAAAAGTCTCTCAAATGCCCCTCAAAACCAGAAGTGACTATCAAGCAGAAAGAAAATGAGCATTATTCAGTTCCATCCAGACATAGGGTGGGGGAAACCAGCCACTGCAAATAAGTCTTCAAAACCCTCCCAGTTTTATTCAACAGTCACAAAGTCATTGATTAGCCAGACCTAACAATTGGCTGTGTAGACCCTACAATTCATCCACTATGGAGCTTCCCCACAAGTCCCTCCCCTCCTTCCCCCAAATTCAGCCCAGTAAGTCCATGTTGGGAGCCACAGGAAACTGCCTAAGTAAAACACACTTTTTTCCTCCATAAAATGGGTCCCTGCCAAGTCCTTTTAAAAAAGCCAGCTAATGGCTCTTCAAAAGGAAAAAAAGAAAGAAAAATACCATAAATGGTTACAGTTACACATACAAATACTACAAAGGGCTTTCATAAGAGAGGCCAGAACCATCTAGAGTCCCTGGTGGCTACTACAGGGAACAGGCAAGTCTACATACTAAGCCACTTGGCACCCTATACCCACTGCCTGCCCAAGTAAAGAAAGAGGGACTAGAAACAATAGTTGCAACAGTGTAGAGAACAGAGTAGAAAATGAGGCCAGAATAGGACACAGCCATCAAGATGAGCAACAGGAAACTGATACACAAATTGTTCACTTTCAGCCAGCAACCATTTTTGGTACATTCATGTTTTAAATTTTTTTAACCCCTTGATGTTACATCAATATTTTTGAGAGACAGGCAATCATCAGACCTGCTGATAAGATGCTTGTGGCACAACAGTTCATCTCAGATGTTCTTCCAAAGGCCCAAGACCCACAGCAGTAAGATGTTGGCAATTTCCAAACAGCCTGGAGGTATTGGGCTTTACCATTCCCTCCCAGGAGGGGAGGCACCTCTTAAGTCTTAGCAAAGCAAACACTAGCCCAGAGACTGAGAAATCAACATGGATATGAAGGATGTGCTGCTGGATTTTCATCTGTGCCTACTCTACTGCCAGCTGCAGCCCCTTTGCTTAAAATGCTGGGAACTGAACGAAGGCTCAAGTTACTGCTGTTGGACTGCCCAGAGCATGCTAGAGACCCTGTTGCAGTTCTGCTCTACAGTCTGTGCCTAATACTGATCAGTCATGGAAGATTGAAGAATGATACCATTAATGACATGATCGGCTGTAAGACACAGAGCACAGGAATTCAGTCTTAGTTGAGCATGTTGAAGGTTCCAACATTTCATAAAAAAGTATAGAAGTCTGCTATCAAAGAACCACTGAGGTTGTTTCCTATTGTACAAGGATCACAACATCTCTGGTGAGCCTAGTGGGAGGGATAGAAGAAACCCAGAGAAGTGATTGCCAAACTGTTGAGGTGCAGGAGGCAGATGGGCAGGGAGGCATTTTTTTCTTCATTTGGTTTCCTGGTGCTGTCAGTTCAGGCCTGAGGGTCTTTTAGCTCCCATAATGCATTGTGTTGGTGGTGATGGACATGGGAGATGCCATGGAAATAGCTGGACCTCCCATGGTGAACTGACTGTTGACAGGGTAGTGAGCACTTGATGTTCCTGCACTCTGGCCACTAGATGAGCCTACAGAGAAGGAGAGAAAAGTTACTTATTGGCTTTGCGAAAGACTCATTCCAATTTTTCAGCAAAAAAAGCACAGAGTATTCAAATCACCTATGTTTTTTGTTCTAGGGAAAGTTCTAAGGAGGAGCCAAAGCAATTTTAGAATTGGTAAGTCTGAATTTAAATTCAAGACCTCTTTACATTTTAATATGTTGTCTAAAATTTGAAAAATTAATTTCAACACCATGAGGTGTTATATCAGTAAAAGTTACAGGCAAAATGCTGTGGCACTTCAGAAACCAACTGTAGCATAAGAATCTTTAGGTAAGAGCCCTGTCTACTAATCTAGTCTAGACAACACAACAATGCTGTTGTGCTATGGGAATGAGCTACTTCACCAAGGGTGGCTTGCTTTTTCCAAGACTATTCTGGACTATTCTAGGGTTGTGATCCCCTATAAAAATCACTCGCTGAACTTAAAAAGGAGCTGTCAGATGAGTGTCACTGACAGTCGCTTCCAAAGTCACCAAGCAGTGCTTTGGGGGCTCCTCTCAGCAGCTTTTATCTGCCTGCATTGGCACAGAACAGCCATCTTAGCTCACAGCTTGATAGTAAATCTCTCAAGCAGGGAAGGATGGATGGGATCTGCGCCATGCAGAGGGGGCACAGTGGACCTCGGCAACCACCAGCAAGGATGCCTGGAAAGAGGAGCTGCTCATCACTCCATGGTGCTGCCATGTGTTCGGGGCAGCCATGCAGAGTGGATTGAGCACCACTCAAACTCCTGCCTGAAAGTGGGTGCCCAATTCATTTAGTAGCATGACAGTAAGGCAGATCAGGCATCCTTTTGAGGCAGCCTACTGACATCCAGGAGGTGGGAGCCAATTGTTGCTTTCCTGTGTTCAAGGTGGTTCTGAGTGGATTGACCAGCTGGATCAGCTCTCCTATCCTCACTGTGCTTCAGGGTGGGAAGTCCTCTTTACTATACAGGGACAAGAAGAATTGTTTTAAATTCTCCTTTGTCCAGGTAGCTAGCGCAGACAGGGAACTTGCCTTGAAAGCGCAGAGTTCAGCTTCCAGCCTCAACTGGTGCAACATGTGGGGCTGTCCACTACACATTGCCCCTGTCAAAGCTGGAAGTTGAATTCAGTATGCTATAAGGACTCTGACAGCCACTATGAACTGAAATGAGCTAACCACCATGACTGTCAAATACGACACAGTCTATCTCATGGTGTCCTGTGGGATACTGTTTGAAGGACCTAGGGGGAAGGGAAAATTGGGCATTATTATCTACATGTTTGGAATACCAAGTTCAAGCTCAGTTTCAGGAAATCAATGTTACAAATGAAATGCTTGCTACCTCTGCAAACTGCTCAACCCCCTCACCCCACATCCACAAACGCCTTCCCCCTCTCAATTCTAGGAAGGTCCAGGCCAGGTTTACCTTGGACAATCCCTGTGCTCATGATGGATCCCATCCTGGAATGGGTATGATTGACAATCCCAGTGTTGGCTGCTTGGGAAGAAAGAAGAATACTCAGACATGCCGAATCCCTGCACTAGCCTACTTAAGCTTACTGTATAGTAAACTTCCATCACCCCCACAATCTACAAGTATATAGGTATGGTGCCCAAAACTAGCTCAAAAGCAAACCATATGCTAAGGAAAAACCACTCTGATCTCACTCATTCTGTATCTGACTGTTAGCCACTTTGCTGGAATGAAGGACATGATTCTTCAACCATCAGAACCCAAACACCAGTTCAGAGATACTTTGAACTGCAAAACCAGAACTGCCTATGAACCCACCCCAAAATGGTAACCAATTAAAATAAACAGGCACTCCAATGATTCTATGGATGGTGATGATCTCACACAAATCCCAGAAACACAACATTTCCCAAGAAAATGGAGCAGGATATTTTGGGATTGGCAATTCTGTCTTCTGCATCTACCTGGACCCCACAGAATCTCAGAACAAAAAACAAAAGGTTAACTGGGGAGGGAATTTCAAGTGTTTAATTCCAAACATGGATTTATTCACATTAATCATTTCTATCCCACCCTTGTCATCCTTACACTTTAAATATAGAGTGGAAACGTCTTGTGCAGGTACAGGTCTATTGCTTAAGTTTGCTGATTTATCCAGTTAAGCTGATTCTCACATTCTCGCCATATTCCCTAAACGTTCCTTTTTTGGGCAAGAAACAGAAGCAAGGATAGGGCTATGCTGGCAGAAGGAAACATCAATATTTATGGCAGGTAGTTTCCCACAAGGGTAGGGATTAGATTGTATTCTTTACTCCAACTATGTTGCAGAACCTTTTAATGCCTAAAATTGTAGGGCTTTTTTCTATGTATTCTTTAATGGGACTATACCCTTGTTATCCATAAATATAAAAGATTGTCATTTATTCCTTTGAGAAAACAAAAGCATTGCACTAGAGGACACATTTGCAAAGAGGGCAAAGCTCGCTTTCTGCCAGTGTAATCCACCAGGGGATTACATTGCCTCCCACACCCCAATGATCTGAGTAATGTAAAAACCTTCTACATACCAAAGTGATAGGCATTTTATTAGTATGTGAATAATATGGAGACTTCATTTAACTGTTAAGGTTAAATGCCATCAACAGATTGCTTTAATATGTGTCAAATTTTAATAAAGCCACTTACTTTTCTAGAGGCCAGGTGTTACGATTGTTCCTGTTAGAGGTACTCCAAATGAGACACAAATTAACAGGAGCAAGACTTGAACTTCTGGCTTCCAACAATATGAGTGAATCAAACCCATTTGTGCTCAGACAGCTTCATAGATGTAAGACTTGCTCTTGATTGCCTTCAGCGTGGAAGAGACTATGACCCCTCAGCTACTTGGTTCAATTGTCATACTGCTTTAGAGTCAGGAAATTTTTCCTCATGTCTAGCGGGAATCTGGCTCCCTAAAACTTGAGCCCATTATATCACATTCATAAGGATCCTGGCCTTCTTCTGCATGACAGCCTTTCAAGTATTTGAAAAGGGCTATTCTATCGTCCTTCAGTCTTCTCCAAGCTAAAACACACAGTTCTTTCAATCTCTCCTCATAGGACTTTGTTTCCAGTCCCTGGATCATCCTTGTTGCCTTCTTCTGCACCCTTTCCAGTTTGTCTGTATCTTTCTTAAACTGTGGAGCCCAGAATGGGGCACATTATTCAGGATGGAGCCTGACTAGTGCCAAACAGAGGGAAACCAGTATTCACATAATTCAGAAGCTATCTTTCTGTTAATGCAGCCCAAAATAGCATTTGCTTTTTCTGCAGCTGCATCACAATGTTGGCTCATGTTCAGCTTGTGATCTATAAGAATTCCAAGATCCTTGCAGTATTTTTGAGCCAAGTACAGTGGTACCTTGGCTCACAAACTTAATTGGTTCCAGGACTCTGGTTGTGACCCAAATTGGTCGTGACCCAAGTTAAATTTCCCCATAAGGTTCAATGTAAATAAAGTTAATCGTTCCGTAATCATTTTATTTATTCAGAAGAATGTGAAGCAAAGTGACAGAACAACAAAGATCACGGCCATCTCCCCCTCCCCACCCCAAGCACGGCCATCTTCCTGCCCCCCCCCCCAGCACGACTGAGATTGCGCCCGTCATCCCTGCACGCGCCTGTCATCCCGGCTTGCGGGGGGGGGGGAGACGGGCGCGATCGCAGGTACACTGGGAGAGAGAGAGAGAGAGAGAGAGAGACTGGCATGAATGGGGTGTGCTGGGGGAGGGAGAGATGGGCGCAAACTCAGCCATCTCCCCCCCCCCCGCCCCCAGCACGATCGCAGCCATCTCCCCACTTGAGGGGCTGGGGAGATGACCACTATCATGCTGGTTGGGCGGAGGGGAAGATTGCCAAGATTGTGCCCGTCTTTCCTGCAGGAGCACGCCCGTGATCACGCACGTCTTCCCTGCATGAATGCAACTGCGATCGTGGCCATCTCCCCACTTGAGGGTGGGGGGGAGATGGCTGCAATCTTGGTCGCCACCCAATGTGGAGTTTGTGACCCAAGTCAAAATTTTCATGAAATTTTTGTTCACGACCCGATTTGGTTGTGAACCAAGGCATTCATGAGCTAAGGTACCACTGTATTGTCCATCTTGTAATGATGCATTTGGTTTCTTAAGTGCAAAACTTGGCATTTGTCTCTACTGAATTTCATTCTGTTGTTTTCAGCCCAGCATTCCAATCTATCAAGACCATTTTTAATCTTCTGTCTTACAGGGTATTAGCTATTCCATCCGGTTTTGTGTCATCTGCAAATCATGTAATTGTTCTCTGCACCTCCTCATCCAAATCATTAATATAAATGTTGAAGAGTGCTGGTCCTAGCACCAAGCTCTGACATATCCCTGCTTGTTATCTTTCCCCAGTTTGAGAAGGTACCATTGATAAGCACTCCAATTCTGTAACCAATACCTAACAGCTGTTCCATCTAGCATGCTTTTAGCTAATTTGCTAATCGGAATGTCATGGGGCACTTTGCCAAAACCTCTACCAGAGTCAAGACATATTATGTCCACAGCATTCTCACAAACTCACCTAGAGGAATAAGGTTGTTGTGGCCAACATTGGTGCCACCAGCAATCACGCTGCTGAGATCATAGGCTGTAGGCATCCCTGCATCATGGGGTAGAAGGGAAGAGGGTGAGAAACAAGGAAGGTACTAAGACATCCATGCACATCTGGAACTTCAAGAACCCTGTGTGGCCCTTGCAGAGCAGGAGAGGACACTTCATGGAAAGTGCTAGAAGCACAAAAACACCTACAGGCAGATATTATACTGCTCTTCCCAGCACAACTCTTTTCTCAGAAAGGCAGTTTGTTCCCAGGTGAACTTCCCAGAGAAAACAGCAATGGAATTATTTATGCAGAAGCACTCCTGGGCTGATACTGCTGAGAACACAGGTACAAGAGCAGCAAAGGGGCTTCCTCATTTAGTTCCACAGTATCTGGAAGCTCTTTCTTTCTTTCCATGTGTCTGGGTGAATGCACACATGACACAGAAAAGGAAGGAAAGATGGACAAACAGAAGCCTGGAAGAGAAAGCACTTGATAGCAATCTGGGAAATAGCTGATGAAATCTGAATGCTTTCTCAGGAAAGGCCGGCAGCCTTTTGGCATAATCTCAGCAACTGATAGATGCAACATGAAACAACATTTGCCACACTTGAAACACAGAAGGCATTGACTGAATAGTAGAGGAAGAGGGGTTGCATAAGCACTGGCCAACAAGGTAGTCAACTTGTGAAGCATGACAGAAAGAGAACTGGGCATTTCTTCCACCAGTGGCTCTCCAAGTATTTAGTTGCCTAATATCAAAGTTGCACCAGATTGCTGTGCCTCCAAGTCACTGGGGAAGTACATGGGCAGATAATCTCCTAGCTGTTTCTTGCACAGAGTCCCACAGATGTGATCCATTTCTTTATTGCACTTCTGTTTGCTCTTACTCTAAAAAAAACCCAAAGCAATTTACAAGGGGCACTCATTTAAGCAGTTATCCAATTCACATCTTATATTCACCAATACTACAGGATTAATGTTTCTCAGGATCAAAGAGATGGGGCACAACAATGAAGGAGCTGCTGAGGGGGCTACATATAATGATATATTTGGCTTAAGCCACAACTGATAGCAGCAACCTCATATATCTCAAGAATGTATGAGGAGAAGGAAGGAAGGGAACAGACATGGTGCATTACTGTAGAAAGGGTATGGCTCAATCAAGAGACATGAGGTACCCAAATTGTATTCCAATATGGAAAAACATGACAGAGAGATGACAGTAAAATGCAGACACCCGCAAGCACTGTCAGCAACAGGGGCTCCTCAGCCTCAGTGCCCCAATCAACATGAGGAGGAAAGACCACTGCTGCTTGGTAAGAGCTTGAATCTTGTGCCCTCAGGATTCCTGGCTGATCTCCTGACCATTCAAATCACAGGCCCCAAAGTGACCAGGAAGGGGGTAGCCCATCCGTGCAGCCCAGGAGTGAAAGACAAGATGGTACGATACCAGCAACAGCCATTCCTGTGCTCATGTTGTAGGCGCCACCTGTGTTCCACATATTCTCTGAAGGAGATGTGTAGTGTGAGCCTGGTGGGGGTGAAGGAGTTGTCCCTGTGTACCTGCAAGGCAGACACACACACACACACACACACTCAAACAACAGCCTCAAAATCAATACGCTAAGCAGTATAGCCTGAACTGATCCACATTCTGGACAGGGCTAATTTTTAAACACCCTAAAAAGCTGACACAAGAGTGTCTTATGGCTAAAAGATTTATTGTGACTGAAGCTTTTGTAGAATAGAGCTCACTTCTGATAAATGGAGTAGATTACAAGTATAGGAATACAAAGAAAAAACCCTGTAAAATTGTGAGGTGAAGAAGCCATATAGTATGTGACACTTCTATGCAAAGTTCAAATGTGTTTTAAGATCAAACACCATATAAAGAGAAATCCAGATTCAAAGACTGACAAGAAAAAAAATGGAAGATTTGGATGGACAGGCTGTTTTACTTCGGATCACCTTGCTGATGATAATTCTTTCCATTTTCTGGTCTGTATGCTAAATATGAATTGTCGGCCACAGCTGCATGCAGCTGAAAGATTTGTTAGAATCTAGGTTTGGTCTTGATGTTTTTACAAGTTTGGAGCCACTTGTGTTACTGGAAGTTCTGACTGAGGTTGAACAGCTACATCAGCCTACAATTCTTGTGTATAAATATTTATTGCCAGTGAATAAATATGATACACAGGGTCCACACAAGAATGGAATAATGACCTGAAGTACCCAATTTTACGTCATCAATGCAGTGCTACATTGTCATCTATTCTGGATGGGGTATCAGATCTTACGTTACATTTAATTCAGCAAAAAATTATATTTTGAGTATACTAGATGCGACAGCATCTTTCTGAGAAGGGCTTAAATTGGACAGTTGTTGGAGATGTAATGCTGTTAATGCTTCTTTTCTGCATATGTTTAGCAACACCCAATGGCAGCTTCCTTCTGGGAGGAGGTAATAATTTGAGTCAATCTTGTAGTGGAATTTTTTTAAATATGTAAGGATATACATGTCTATTTGAATCACCTACTCATCTCTTAGAAGTTAATCCAACATCAACATAAATGGATTGTCCACACCGTTTTGACAGCTGAAATACTAAAATTACACTGTTGGGAAGATAAATGGCCACCTGCCATAATATCTCAGGTGGAAGATTTAATGAAACTTTCCATTTTTGAAAAAGTAGCCTTTTGGCAAAAAATGGGCTTATGTTTTGTAATGCACAATGAAAAATACTTTTTTAAAAGTTGAAGCTACAGTCATGGAAGAAGTACACATGGATTTCAGTAATGAAAACTGACAGGGCCAGGACTAACCTACTACAGGCAGCCCAGAAGAGAAAGAGACAATATATCACTTGTTAACCGTGGTTCATTGCCCGTCCTGGATTATATTTCTAAAGCCCCAGAGAGGCAGAAGCAAGTAGGCTTGTCTCACTTGCAGCCAGCTCCCTAATTCAGCAGTGTTGATGGCTACCTAACCAAGACAACTAAGCTACCTGAACAAGATAACAAACCCAGATGTCAACAGTGGTCCCTACATCCACTCAGGCGGCACTATTACAGAACTTTATAAAAAGCCAGCTGCAATTCTAGGAACTCACTCACATGTTGCCCTTCCACTATCTATCTATTAGGGCAAGCATTTCACACTCTATTTATCTGGAAACCAGAGGGAAGATATTTCAGTCTTTTAGGGCAAACTGCTGACAACACAGAAGTCAACATTCTCTTATCACAGTATTCTCAGCTCTTCAGATGTTTTGAGCTACAACTTTCATAATCTCCGGGCAGCACAATGATTGACCAGAAGAGATGAAGACTCCAGTGAGGAAGAGTCAAGCCTAGCTCCCACATCCACATTGTCTTGCTCTTCCCAGCCAGCTCTGGTTCAGAAGGAATCTTATGAATTTCCACAGCTGAGAAGGATACTTCTCAGCAGCCATCTGCCAGATCAGCATGTTTATTGGGGCACCAATTGATAGTTTAGTTTTAAAGCAAACCACTTCAGTGAATGTTGCATTTTAAAACTTGCTGTTAAAAAGGCTTTATAAAATCATCTACGTACATATAACTTGTATAATTTATTTCACTTTGCAACTTGCTCTTTGGGGAACTGCAAAATTTTGTACTACTTGTGGAAGAAGAAAATGAACTGGGGACATATCATTTCATGCTTTAGCCTCTGTTTTTAAACTGACAGCAGTTAAAGTTCATAGAAATCCCAAATTCCATTTTCAAAGTAGTCATACCCAAATGCTATTTTAACTTCTATCCTCATCATTACAATGGTATCTTGTTCACCATACAAATGTTGTGTTTGCTTCTCCCAAATGTGGTGTACGGAGCCTTGCTTGTTTTCCCCTTTGTCTTAACTGCAGCTTCTTCCAAAAACCCTGCATAAGTCAACTGCTCCAAAAGTACACTAAGAAGTCCCTCCCTGTACATGATTTTACACACAGTTTAGGCACAGTATTAAAGTATTTATGAATACTTTTATAGAAAGAGTAGAAATGCAAACTATCTGGAAATAATGGAGCTGAGGGAGAAAAAGTTATTTTAATCTACTCTGTAAACATTCCCAGCAGTTATTTAATAATTTATTAAAATTATTACTCTAATGTATCTTTTCTTGACAGACATTTAATGATGCTCCAAATCATGCTCAATTTCCTGAAAATGTGAGCATATCATAATATGGAAGAAAGAGCATTCTTTTGATTTGTTCTACAGAGTCTTGTATTTCTGGGCTTATCCTGGTTAGATGCTGTACCAAGCAATTAAGGCTGTTCTAATGTAAAGCCCACATGTGGGAAAAAATTATTATCCTGTCACTGTCACCAGGGGCAATGGAACGGCATATGGGTAATCCCACCTACCTCTCTTAATTTAATTTTGAGGCTTGGGTTTATGGACCTCACCATCACAGTTAATAATTCTCAATTCAAAGTTTCCATTTGGAAATGCTTCCTCAGCTATGTGATTTTTAAAAATGTTACCACAGAATAAACCCTCTATACCTAAAAGAAACTCAGTAGTGAGGTTTCTACTGCATAGGCTTGGGAAGAAAAATATCACTACAGAAAACCTTTCAAACTGAACAAAAAACAAAATGTTCTTTAATGGAAATAATTTACAGAAGTGAATGTAACTTTTCAAATAATAGGATAAGATTGCTTAAAGGTTCTTAGACTCATACAACAGTAGAGTTAGAAGGGCCATGAAGGCCATCAAGTCCAACCCCCTGCTGTTGCAGGACACCAATTTACCCCATCCTTCTCAGATGGCTGCCCAGTTTCTTTTTGAATGTCTCTAGTGTGGGAGAGCTCACCACCTCTCTAGGTAGCTGGTTCCACTGTTGTATTGCTTTGACAGTGAGGAAGCTTTTCCTGATATCTAGCCTGAATCTGGGTTGTCGTAGCTTGAATTGATTATTCTGTGTCCTGCACTCCAGTATCAGCAAGAAGAGATAGAAACTTAGGTACATAGTGAGTCAGAAGGGACCGCCTGGGCCATCTAGTCTGACCCCTGGCTCCAGCTGGCTGTGTCCATGACATGCCTACTATGTGCATGATCTTGACCTTCCTCTTTGTGACAGCCTTTGAGGTACTTACACAGGGATATCATGTCCTCCCTCAGTCTTCTCTTCTCAAGGCTAAACATGCCCAGTTCTCTCAGTCTTTCCAAACCCTGGATCATTCTTGCTGTCCTCTCCACTAGACCCTTTCTGATTTTTATCCATCTTTCTTAAATCTTGGTGCCCAAAACAGGACACAGTATTCCAGGTGAGGTCTGACTAGTGAGGAGCATAGGGGAACTACTACTTCACATGATCTCAAAGTAATATTTCTGTTAATGCATCCCAAAATAGCACGTGCCCTTTTGGCAGATGCACTGCAGATCTTTCTCTTTTTCAGTACTGTAGAGGCACATATTCCCCATCCTGTATCGATGCATTTGGTTTCTTTTTCCTAGGTGGACAACTTGACACTTGTCCTTATTGAAACTCATTCTGTTGCGGCACTATGTTGAAATCTTTGCTAAAGTAGGTAGATTATGTATAGTGTTCACTCTGTCCATTTGGGAAGTTACCCAGTCAAAAAATGAGATTAAATTAGTCTGACAGGATTTATTTTTGATAAATCCATGCTGGCTTCTATTAATCACTGCATTTTCTTTTAATAATTTGCTCCAGATTTTTTCCAGGGATTGATATTAAGACTAACTGGTCTGTAGTTCTCAGGTTCATCTTTTTTCTCCTTTTTGAAGATAGGGACAACATTAGCCCTTCTCCAGTTGTCTGGCACGTCTCCTCATTTCCAAGATTTCTAAGATAATAGCCAGTGGTTCTGAGAGTTCCTCTGCTAACTCTTTTATTACTTTGGGATGGAGGTTCATCGGGCCCTGGAGATCTGAATGTGTTCATTCCACCTAGGTATTCCTTGACCATCAGTCTTGGGCTGCCATCTCTCACTTCTAGCTTGTACTTCCTCTTGATTGCAGATTTCCTTGTGGGAGGAGACTGAAGTGATATAGGAATTGAGCGCCTATGCCTTTTCTTTGTCGTCTGTTATCACTCTGCCATCCACTTTAAGTATCTGGACACCCTTCTCTTTCTCATGTCTTTTGTACTGGATGCATCTGAAGAAGGCTTTCTTGTTGTCCTTAGCATCCCTTGCTATTCTCAGTTCATTTCCTCCTGATGCCATCCCTGCAATTCCTGGCTATTTGTTTATATTCTTCCTTCCTGGCCTGGCCCTGCTTTCACTTCCTGTTCTTTTTTTTCTTTCAGGCAGTTACTTCACTTTTTGTGAAGCCATGTGGGCTTCTCTGCTATCTTCTACACTTTTTTCTTGATGAAATTATTTGTAGTTGTGCTTCTGGAATCTTCTTTTTCAAGATTTCCCACCCCTCCTGGACTCCTTTTCCCTTAAGAGTGTGTTGCCGTGGCACTTTGAGTTCATTGAAGTTGGCTTTCTTGAAGTCCAGGATGTGTGTGGCTCCAGTTATCCTTTGTCTTCTTTATAATTGAGAATTCAAGTATTGCATGGTCA